ACTCCGGCAGGCAAAGAGGAGGCTGCAAGAACCGGAAGTGGAAGTGTGGCGCACACGCGCAAGCGAACAACACCGGAAGTACCTTCGTGATCGTTCATTTTAGTAAGCGGTATCTAGCGACTAGGTCGCAATCGGGGTAAAAGACAGACAAAATCTCCGCAGTTTAGCAACGTTAAATTACAGAACAGCCAATTACAGGAATTGATTTGCAAATGCTTCTCTCCATGGCCCGCACCTATTTAACATAGTCTCACTCACATAACCTTTCTTAAAACATTGGTAACTCACTTTGGTTTAAGAATCTTACACTCTTAGATAATAGTAGAGTATTACTCAAGTATTTTGATTGTAGCACCTTGAACAACCAATAACATAGTATTCCTAACGAATTGCGAAATTGAAAGAAGATAGATCACACACTTGCTGTTTCTAACAATTAACAATTAAAATTATGATATCATTAGATGACACTAAATAAATACACAAACCACCTGTGTGGCTGGCTTAACAATTTAATTTCACAATCCATGCGCATCTATTTAAGTTTTTTGTGAACTAAAATAATAATTAAGTTACCTATGGTACTTTTAATGATATCGTTTTTAACTGCCATGGTAGGCAAACATTTAAAAACAACTGAAAATACTCAAGCAAACCAACATTGTAGTCTACATGTTACTCCCGTAGTAAATAACTGAGTGCCGAGAAACCGACCAAAATGACCTCTAAGCATCTAACTCATCTATTGCTACCTAATCAGCCAGCCACAAATTAATTTCATGGTTTTTTTTTTAAATGAAAAGGATCTCTATTTTCCTTTTACAAAATACATTAATTTTCAATTATCAAATTGACCATTTTATATTTTTATATACACTGTACACTTTAATATGTTCGGAAACGAATTTCTTTGTTCCTACAAATAATGGAAATTTCAAATTTCATTTGACTTTTTTTTTGCCGGCTAAGAACTTTGCGCTAGTCAGATCGCTCTTCGCAAACCAAAAGAATTGCAACGTAGCTGCCAATTGTTTAAATTTTAAAGTAATGGCTCATCTGTTTGGCACTAACAGTTTGATTTTAATAAGATTTAACCAATAGTTGGTTTATGGATGAAATTGGCGAGACACGTGTACGCGCGCTTTAGTTTTCTTCTGACATCACAGGACATGTTACAGTTTTATAAGTGATGGCGATAAACCTAGAGTCAAATAAAGCCCAACACACTTAGTCACCAATAAGTTTAAAATTGGCATGTTGTTTTCATAAAATTCCACTGGACAAAAAAGATTAAAACTCCCTTCTAATGAAATGTTAATCTACATTGGCAATTTTACTCCAATCACATAGGTAACGGTTACATTACAATTGAGAAGAAGACACACAGCGGAATAGTAAGAAGGGGGATCACTATCTGAACGACTAGGTCAATACAGGGAAAAGAATAAGTTGATAAAACATGACACACAGAGAGAAAACGTTTGAACTTCGATAATATGTAACGCGACAGGGACAAAAACGAATAAATTTATTAATGAATTACTATGTTTTTGAATGAAATAGAAATAATGCAATACACTCAAGCGCAGAAATTCAAAGCCTTGAACTTGAAAAAGCCTGTACATTTAACGATTCAGGATTTCATGGGGATGGGGTTGTCCATCTACTACATCTATGATAAGCTATCTGTTGTTCTGATCATCCTCCTACATGACAGGAATTTTAAGTTTATATGAGAGGAAAGTTTGTCAATGGCATAGAATTTCTCTCTCAACAACTGTTACTTTGTACATTTGGAGGTGCACAGAGAACCATTTGATGGTTCCACTGGAGTTCACTTTGAACAAGTCAATAACGTCACTTGTAACTAAGTAGATTATGAAATAAACTACACACACCATATTCAATTTGTTGAAAAAAAAAACACGAAATAATTTAGCATAAGCAACATGTGTTGCAACATCATTAACATTTGTTTACATTGCATTTGTTCCTTTTTAATATCACGAAAATCGATCTTGGCATAATAAATAAGAAAAAATTGCGCATTTTCAATCATTCATTGGTTGTAGATGTCGCCAAATAGTTTTGGGGTTTTTATTTTAAAATTTAACACCTATTCCTACTACGACATTCACAGTTAGCTTTTCTCAAATTTCCAGGATTCACTAATTTTTGTAGATGATATTTTGCGTAGTTGGGTGTACACACATTTGGACATGCCAAAGGTATGGCTGCA